GGGCCCCCCCCCCCCCCCCCCCCCCCCCCCCCTCTCCATATGGGCATGATCTGGTTCTGATATTCTCTTGGCAATTTGAAGATCCTGTTGAATTAACTTTTAAACAATAAAAAGTTTCTGGAGACTAGACCTTGCCTATTTTGGAGAAAAAAAGGATCTAAGTTTTGACGAACTTGCCGGTCCTGTGAAAAAGATGGCGATCTCGCAACACCGTCCGCAAAGCAAATTAACAAAATTATACAATTACGGACACAAAATATCAAAACGGTTTACACAAAGAGATTATAGCGATAAAAAAGCTCACACACTTGCGATCAAGTTACCGATAAATAGCGATATTTGCTAGCTTCTTAGCTTTTCCTCGACTTCGCTCGTCCTAATAACTGTGGTATCTCTTGCTTATTTGCCCAAGCGACCCGAGTCTTGCCCGTTACTATGTGACCTCACACTGGCAGGCCGAGTGGGTCAAGAAATGAAGGTGGAAAACAATAGAGTCACCTTCCCCCCCTGGTTATATTATTTATGATTTTTTCTTTTTTAATAACTAACTCGAGTCTTTAAATGGTATTATGCAGTGTATCGTTTAATTTGTACTTGCTAGGTACTATGTAAATGCTGTGAGTTTCAGCTGACTACATTTATGGAAACTGTTATAGATGAAAACTGTAGATGTAGATGTAGGGGAAGCCACGTTTTGGGTTGGATAGAAGAGCATGCGCCCTGAGGTCAAAATAACCAGATTTTTTTCGACTATTTATGGACTGGGTTAGGGTTAGGTTTAGGATTAGTACTCAAAGATTAAAGAAAGGAAGGACTATCAGTTGTTTGGGGCCTTCGCCCACTTTTTATTGACAAGAAGAAAAAGATGCAGGAGAATTCTGGACGAATGTTGGCTCAAAATCATCTTGACAGCCTTATTTGCCTAATTTGTGGCAAGGGCACCCATCGAACGCGCTTTAATTATTTCCTCTCATATTAATTACTTTCTGTTACGTCAGCAATCTTCATTATAGATACACTAGCAGGCGGATGGAAGGAAAACTGCATATACGAAGTGAGTGGATTGAATAGATGTGCTTCTGTTAATCAAGGTACGATTACTTTTTTTGTTAATTCGGTGATTGTGATTCAACATTCAAAACTCTTTTGGCACCTGCCACGAAAGAAGATACTTCGTATACTTTTAACGACGCTCATTTGTAAGTGTTGTGAAGAAAAGGTAAACGATTCTTCAAAGTTAAGTTTCCAAGTAAAACATAGGAACCACTGAATTGAACAATGTCTTTTATTTACTATCATTCACAAGGGTAAATCAGCAAATTCATCAGTCTTTAGGGTGTCGTAGTATAAAACAACAGCAGCTAAGTTAAGCGCGCGCTCTTGGCCTTTTAGTGGGCTCGTGTTCTATAAAGAGCATAAGACTGACTGAAATATGCACGCGCAAATTGGCAATTTTATACGATTCAACATAGCAACGTTATAGCACCGACTTCATAAATTGAGAACTGAGATTGTTAAGGTTTAGTTTGTTTATGTCAAACGCTCTTGTAACATGCAACTAGAGACAGAGACCTTTTACGTGATTCAACTTCCTTCAACGATTATCGCCACGCGTTTTTGGTCGACAGTAAACCGAATGAGGACATCATTTTTAGTGGATTTTCGCTCCAGGACAAGTTAGAAGGAACGCATCTCGTGGTTTTTTAAGGCTTTTATTAGAAGCATATAAACCTATATATGTTTCGGCTTGTATCCAATAGGCTGATTTAGCAACAGAACAGGAACGTCATTTGACGACGGAAATGCCAGCGGAAAGGACTAAACTAGACTTCCTGTGCCAAATTCGTCGCTCTGCCATTGGTCAAGCCAGTTGTTTAAATTGCGAGCGCAGTCGTCAACTGACTTTCCCGCTCTGTTGCTATGTGTATGTAGGGACGGAGGGGTCACAACGTTGGTGCGTAGTACGTAAAACTTCACGTGGTTGATGTGTATCAAGGCAGAAAAACAACCCTTACTAATCCAACTGTATTTTGAAACTGTTTTAAATGTAGTTAAAATGTATTTAAATGATTTAAAAACTATTTTGACCTCTGTTTGGGGTATTTTTATTTTTTTTTTACGAATAAAAGCAAAATAGATATAGGAGTTTAAAATGTATTCGACATCTATTTGAATACTATTTATCCTAGTAATAGTTGACACTACAGCTGCCCCCGCTCTGTATATTGTCGGTTAATAGTATTCTTGCCCGTTGTGTAGCTGTTTGAAATATGCCGATTCATAATGAAGATGTTCACACCTAGTCCACACAATAGGTGAGATAAATACAGGAAATAAACGCAAGTTTCCATGCACAGTTTCGGTTCGATTTACACAGCCTTCATCAAAACATTCTCAGTTTCGAGAATAGTTTGTTCTAAACCATAAGAAAAGATTTAATTCGAAGTTTAATTTTTCGCTATTTGTATTTCACTTTTATATTTAGTTCATTTTATTTGCCGGAAAGTAAGCCTTAGAAATTAAAAGGACGTTTGATAAATTCACGCTCGTGCATTCTAGTCTTATTTTAAACTTTATAGCGGAAGGACATCTGTGAGCAGGGAATAAGTCATCACAGAATTTGATTGTCGGCGAATTTCTGCAATCGTCCATCGTTCTGTTAGTGATAAGCTAGC